TTATTGGAAAAATATAAGAAACACGGGCAGGCATCATTCCAAGTAATGAAAAAGATCCAGAATACATAATGGTGATTGCGTTCGATCGAATGAAAAGAAACAACATCACGAGCAACGCAAATCTAGGTTTCTCAATGTTACTGTTATATATATATATATATATAGATATGTATATATGTATACTCGTGGAGAAGAAGGCACGCAGAAAACTCGAGGCACACAGTAAATATATGGATATAATAAAAACGTTTGCTTTCCAACATTCTTCCATCGTCATTCCAAGTTGCTCTTGAAAGGCGTGCACACGTGCGGAATTCGGGTCCGTTCTACACGCGTGCACACGTTTGCCATGTGATATATGTATATATTATTATACGTATAATAGAGACAGAAGATAAATATAACCATGAACGAGGGAAAAGAAACTGATTACGAGAAACGTATGAACCAGAAACGTTTAACTACGCGATCGCATGCTTCTTACAGATCTGTCACAGACATACCGGGTTGCATTGCACGAGCACAATATTAAAGTAATAATCTGTTCGGTACACGAAACCGCTACAATTAATACAGTTAAATAAGATAGTTATGATACTGTCTAGCTAATGAACAACGCGCCGTGAATGAAAGTAAAAGAAGAATGGTAAACGAAACGCACCGAACCAAATGTCGCGCGTGAGAATGCCACGAGAACGACGGACTCGAAATGAAACGAAAAACTTCTGTAAAGTCTAATTGAAAATCAGCTCGAACTATCGGCATCTGCGTCCGAACTTCCCTTCGAAAATGCTGAGATGATACGCATGAGGGTGTATCGGCTCGCAGGCGGTCCCGAAGTTTCGCGTCGAGCTCGCGCGCACCGACGCGGCGAACCGACGTTCGCCGGAATATTCGAGAACGTTCCGCCGGAGTGTCGTAACAAAAATCGCTAAGAAAAACAATAGTTTCGATCGAGTCATGCAGAGTTGCGCATATCAGGACACCGTCGTATGTAGGTAGCTAAAATAAAAAAATGATCACCAGTCTAATGCAACGTCGCCTACGGTTCACGCAAATTACAGTTTCGGACGAAGCGCTCTCGAACCGTTTCCGCGACGTTCTCGTTCGCGTCGCGGTCCGTGCGCCGCGAGTGCTTCGTCGCTGAACGACGGGACAGCCTGCGGCGTGCGTACGAAACGAAAAGTAAACAACCGAAACGAAAGAAGACGAACGCAACAGCGATGAAGGAAAAATACGTCTGGTTCACTCTGCGCCGTTTTCTTCTTTATCTCTCATTTCGAGTATATGACCTTACCGCGTCGTCGACGGATTAGCTTGGCGCTGATTAAACGGCCCGCCGGTAGAGTGAACGTGCTGTCCCGGTTTACCGATTTGCAACGAAAGAAACCCGCGTCCGCCGGATCAACGGGACGGACCCGATCGTGTCGGTCATGCATTAGAAACAAAGGAAAACGGATTCACGGTTTAAGCCTGCGTCCCCTAGGAAACGTTCCTTCCCTGCTCTCGTGCGTGAAAGAGAACCCCTGGACTTCCGGTTGTCGGTTGTGTGCTATATAAGGCCTATCGGGTTGGTCGTG